CTGGTAATTTTTTGACTTGGAATACCAAATTAAAGTATATTCAGTACAGCACAAGGGTTAAAGTTTTGATTTATAGTATTTCTTTTAAACTTATATGCTTTTACTTTGCTCATTGGTAATGGGAATCATATTGCATGCAGCAGAAGCTTGACTTTTCTTTGTTGTACGTTGATGCTTCTAATGGAAAAATCCTTTGTTTTCAGTATGATTCTTCTCAGTATTTCCGCTCTTCACTGCGATAGCTTCAAGAGGAGGTGAAGGCAGCTTGAGGAGGTCGAGTGAAACTAACGTGGGAAGAAGTGAAGCGAAATTCTAACAGACACAGGCCACTGCTCTTCCCCTCTGGCAGGACAACTCTCCATAACCCTGCACAGACACCGCTGCATCCCCCATCACTACCGAACCGACATGCCGCTCTCATCTGTGCCGATTCCATGTGGGCGTCCGCTCGTGCGTTAGTCATTGTGAACACAGTGCACAAACCTTTACGGCTTTGTCACTGTAACCTTGCCCCTGCTCTGTTCCTATAAAATGAAAGAAAAGAGAAGAAAATGCAAGGTGTTGTGTGGGAGGAAGTCAAAGAGAGAGAATGAAATGAAAGTGGGCGTGAAGAGTGTGGACTATAAAATAAAATAAAAGACGAGAGGAAGCGGTTAATGACCAGCCGATAATAAATAAAGCACATGTTAAATTAAAAGTAAAAAGAGGGAAAAGATGGAGAGAGCGGAAGGGGGAGGAACAGGAAGACAGGCAGTGTGACAAAGAATAGACAAGAAGCACTTTTCATAAATACTCTACACTTGAGTCTCATTACATTTAAAAAAAAAAAAACATTGCTTTGTCATGAGAACTATTAGATGTTGTATATTATGTCACAATTTTAACATAATCTATTGAATTAAAGTTTGCAAACTTTAAGTAATTGATCAAATCACCAAAATAATTTTTTTTTAGTTTTGTGCTACATTCATTTATTGTGTGCCACATTTTGTGCACAACCTTGTTAACCATATGATTTTCTCTTATTACAAAAACTGTAAAATGACTTAAAATCGTGAACACATACAGGAAGTGACATCATTTCTATGGCATGATAGGAAGATAAATATTGTTGTGTTTACTGCAGTTATTGAGCTATTATTTCTTAAGCAATCCTGTTACGAACAATTTATTAAATAATGTTTATAGCTAAAATGTGCAAATATCAGGGATTAAATATTGGTTGCAGGCTTGCGAAAAAAAGTTTTCTTTGAACATAACACAGTTCATATAATATCTGCATTATGCTTCTTGAAGTTGGCTCTCAACATTTGAAGAAGGTTAAAATGACCAATTGTTGAAAAGAAAAGAAAAAAATATTTTCTTTTTCAGGCTCTATTTGGTATCCTATTCATGGAAGGTGCAAGAAAGATGTGTTGAATGGGAGAGTAGAAGAGACAAAATGTGAGAGAGAAGGTCTGCCGAATAAGGGAAGATGAATTACAGGAATGTGCACGGTGGCTCGGCTCGTTTAGGAGCTGATGTGTCGGGAAGCGGAGGATGGGTGTTAATAAGAAGCCTTATGTGGCTTTCTATGAACTGAAATGCTTCACAGGCCATGGGAACAGAAGAGAGAGAGAGAGAGAAAGAAGAGAAACACACAACATGAGCGAGGCTGCCTGATCTCTGCTGAGTCATACAGACAGAACTTAAAAAGACATGACAAACAATGAAACATAAAAGTACACATATAGTAAGGTAAGTATAGTTTATTGAACTTGTTCCAGAACAATAGTTTTCAACTGGTGGGTCGTGACCAAAAATATTTTTTTATGAACAAGGAAAAAAACGATGATAAATTTAAATCATAGAATGCAAACCATACAATCATTTAGGGGAGCAAAATAATAAGGATACTTTAATTCTAATTTAAAAAGGTTGTCTGTTCAATCAACATCTGTCACTTGCTCGAACCTAGCTTGAATCATGGCCTACATGAATAGGTTGCATGACATGCACATGCTATTATTAATGCATTTAGATGTCTGATTTTAAGGACATTTGTGTTTATTTTTCATCATAAACAATGTTCAAAGTACAATTTGGGTCATGAAGCAAAACTCAACGTGCATTACTTAAGCCAGTTGGATGGGCAAAATAATATTTAATAAATAGCCAAATAGTTATTGAGACACCCACTTTTCATGATCCAAAGAAATCCTGGTTAATAAAGTCCAATGAAGTATTGCTATTTCATTTAATATTTTGATTCACTCTAAAATACTTGTATCATAGACAGGGCCAAATTTACCTCTTTTTGGGCCCCCCATCATTCAAACAAATTGCATTTCATTCCATTAAAAGGCGCGGCGTGGCCACATAACCACTTCGGGAGTGCATTATTTCTCTAATAATTTTAACGGCCTGGAGTCACAACCACACATCAAGACATTGTTCAGATGATTTGTTTCAAGACATTTGACATGTTTCCCAGGGGCGTGTCTACGTGGTGGCCAGGGCTGGCACCGGCCCCCCTTGAAACTTGGCTCCCAAGCGGATTTCCTTCACTCACACAAAACTGGACGTGTGCTTTTAAATATTGTTCTTTTATGAATTGACTCTGCTCTGTCACTGTCTCTGTCTCTGTCACTCTTTGTTTAGTGAGTGTACACGATGTATTATAACATACATCGTTCCGCAAACACAACACCCCCCCCGACCACCCTCTTTTGAGCCAGTGCATTTTAGAGCTAATAAAAGAGGCTTGAGCCATTGATATGCAGGCTAATGCAGTTATTAATGCAGTCTAATGCGGTTATTAGAGAGAGAGAGAGAAAGACAGAGAGGGAGAGAGAGAGATTAAGCACGTGTGAATACGTGCGTCTGTGTGTCTCTCAACAGTGTTCAGCAGCAGCGTCTACTAATAGCGAATCTTTAAGTTAAACTGCTTCAAGAACCTTGCAACTGAGAAATGTCATGTAGCTTTTCAGCTGCAAAACTATTTTATTGATAAATTCGCGGGGCAGCACTGACAAGAAGTTTCTGTTCGCGTCTCCACGTGTGTGCGTGAGTGTACTGTGTGTGCATCTGTGATCTGTGCGTGATTTCCGTAGCCTACATAAAAAAGGTGGAAGACATGGAAATAGTTTGTCATTTTTTACTCTATGGTTTGTTATATTTATTTGCTCAATGTCTTCTGGGGTTTTGGTTCTTTTACTGTTGTAGATAGCCCATAACATAACAAAAATATTATATATCTCTTCATTGTGTTTGGGCCCCCCTGGACGAGCGAACATAGAATGCCTATGCGTAAATCCGGCCCTGATCATAGAAGTAAAATGGGTTCAAGCTCAGTGTTTAAGCTTCATGAGTCTTTTTGATTTCCTCTATGCACTCTCATGGCTGAAGTCTAACATTCACTGATCATTTAGTATCTCAAGCTGTTGTTCCTCATCTCAAACTATGCAGCACTGAGGCAACATACCAGATTTCACACTCATTGATTGGAGAGCACTCTGTCACATTGGCAATGCTGTGTGGCTCTAGCTATGAATTAATTAATTGTCTCTGTCAGAAAATACCAAATGTCCTGCAGATCTCAGAGATCCCACATTGTATTACAGAACAATATTGGTGAATAATGAATAAAAGCATCTTCTAAATTGCAGACTATTTCACACTGTGCATCTAAGTTTGTTTTTGTCCACTCATTGTCGATGACTAACACCTCAAATGCTTCTTTCTCAACTGTCCTATCCTAATCAGCAGATACATGATGAGCCATCCATTTTTTCCCAACATCCCACTCTGTCTGTCATCCCTCCCTCAACATTGACAGGCTATAATCCCCATATTTTGTCTGAGTATATCACTTCTGCTACATTTGGCTGGGCTAATGCCCCGCTGTGGGGTCTCATGTGAGGGCTGGGAGAGGAGCAGGTCCCTCTCTGGCCATTTACATAGAGCTGCGAGTGCTATTACGCCATCACTTTGCATTTAGATAACTGCCAGCACACCTAGTAAATCAGGCCGTGTGCATCCATGTCAGTCTTTCCAGCTGTAGGGGACTGAGAGGGGGGAGGGGTGTCTCCACCTGACTGAAGCCCTCCATCAAATCAGCATCTAGATCCACTCTTCAGTTTCTCTATTAGACACACATATATGAGATATGGATAGGCCGGTAAGTTCAGGCAGAAAATCCAGTCATGCACGTGTAAATGGGAAATTCACAACATCTTGAGATCTGCTTCTTTCTCTTTAATAGCTCAGGAAACATAGAGTTCTTAGTTACGTTTCATTTTCATCAAGTATCAGCATTGAGTGAGATGTTTCTCTTAATTCATTAAAAGAAATTCAAATGAGAAAAATGTTGAGATCGCAGAAGTGTAGAGAAATAAATTGAACATGGATAGCATAGGTCAGATCAGTTGGCGTTGGAAGATGAGAAAGGTTCATATTAAATTCCATTTGGGCACAATTTGAGACAAGTGAGATTACTGGGGTCCTTTTTCTCAGGAGAAACCTCTGAGGAGCAGTGATCAGAAATGTTTGAGTTCATACTGTAATCTCTCTTGGCAAATCTGAGCACAGTTCGAGAAATTGAGATTTATTCAGAAACTTGCATGAAACGTATGATTGATTGGGATCTTTGTTCTCAGGAGAAACATCTGTAGAGCAATGATGAGAAAGCTTTGATTTCATATTGAAATCTATTTGACCATATCTGAGCAAGTTTGAAGCATTGTTTAGATTTTTTCTGATACTTTATAGGAGACATATGTTTGATTACCAATTTTTTTCTTTTTCAGGAGAAATATCTGAGAAGCAATGACATGCATACTAATAAAAGTCGCTCTTCCAAACACATGGCAAAAATTCTCGTTAGATAAGGTTCCAGAAATAACAACATACTACTGCAAGGACAAAGAAAGTCATGAGAACTGAAAGGACTCTCTCTCTTTCTCTTACCCTTTCTTTCTGTTCCTGTCTCTTCCTCTCGCTCTTGCTTTCAGGGATAGATGCTCCCCGAGGGCTTCGCCAGCCCTCCTTTCTCCTCACTCATTTACACCACTGCACTGATGCATACTGGAATTGATAACACGGACACCTTCTCTTATCTTGTCTTACCGTAGTCTTTTGAGTAGGAGTCCTTTGTTATCGAACTGGCAAGGAGCAAAGGGATGTCACAGGTCTGTATGCGTTGCCAGAAAGTTGAAAGTTCTGGCTGCTCGCTAGGAAAAAGATTTAGTACAATACAGAAGATTCAGTTGATCTAACCTAAAATGTAAAAACTATGTTCTGTCATTTAATAGACCCAAATGCGTTTTTAAGATGCTTTCACCAAATGTTTGACAGCTGCTGGCCTGATGAATTTGATCGATGATGTGTTGGTGAGTATGTGCATCTTAAACCATTATTATTCTTAATGCATCCAGCCCTCTTTCTCTCTCTGTATTTATAGCATAACAATGTCTCTGTCACAACTCAATAATTCATTTCCGTTCATCAGAAACCAGTACAAGGTTGTTGCTGAGGGGACGGGTATTGCTGCCGTGGTGACAGTAAGAAGCAATGCATTGCACCGATAGATGGCCGAGAGAAACACGAAGCAGTGGCCAACTCCTGCAGACACTAGGAATGCTTCATGGTCCAGTGATGAATTGCAAATAGAGGATCAGAGTCTGGCACATGAAAGTGATTGGGAGGAGGGAAGGAGGGGGAAAGAGACAAAGAGAGCGAGAGAGATTCCCTCAGTCTTTGACTTCGGTCGGGACTAATGATCGGTCTGATATGGGCAAGTAATTGGTGTCTAGGGATGTTAGACTACAATGTCTTATACATAACGTAATAGGCAGCCCAGTATAGGCTGCAATATTTAGTCAGGAAGGTGATGCACGCATACCGTGAAAGGCAATTAAAACTAAGGGAGTGACATTCGGGTGATGCACTGCCCAATTACGAGGGCAGGACTGGGCAAGCAATTACAATCGTTTTTGGCAGAAGCATATGTAGTTTTATTCTCTGCTTAAGTTTGATGATGAGATGGCTTGTGTTTTGTACAAATATTAAAACTAATGACTCATGAACTAATATCTGAAGCTGTTGACTTTATCATATCTTAGTGCAGAGGTTAAAATGGTTGCAGTCTACAACCCTTCTCTAAGCCCTGCCTTTAAAACATTACTGACCAGACTTAACCGTTGCCACCCACCAATTCACAGGTAAACTTTTGCTCGTTTCAAATGTCAGATCCTCCATCTGTGTGTTTGATGCAACCGAGGCGTGGAGCTTAGTGAAGGGTCAGTTGACGGGAATGTTCACACAGTTCGATTCAAGACTCCATTAAAGTTCACCCAAAATAAAAATTCTGTCATCATTTACTTACCATCTAAACCTGGCCCAAAAACAACAACACTGAGACAAAATATCTTCAAACAGCTTTGGAACAACATGAAATTGAGTAAATTATGACATAATTAAAATTTTTTGGAGAACTGCATTTTTTTAGTTGTTCATATAAACTGCATTCGAACCGCTTATGTAAACTGCATGAACTGGACAATTTGAGAGTCACATCTACAGTTGTGAATCCCAAATTCTGACTGTATGAATGCAGCCACTGTGTATTCAAAGTGTGTGCGATCTCTGTGCGATCATATTGCAAAGCAAGGTCATTTGTTGTATGTGCTGACCGTCTAAATTTGAGACTTTTCATCAAATATTATTGTAACATCATCAGCATGTCTTCGAGTTGCATTACATGCTTTATTCCTAGCTTCCGTATCAATAATATTGACTTTCATGTGAAGAGCAGGAAATGTAGAAAAAACTCATATATGTAAAATGAGCTATTTATATACTGTATGAAGTTTGATTTATCGGGTTTTACATAATGGCTTAATGCTCAGTGTAAAGATGGACATCAAGGCTCTGTACATCACAAATGTAATATACATCCAATAGACAAACACACACTTAGTCTAAAGTCTAATTACCCAGCCAGGGAAGAACAAAACTAAGCTTACTTCTGGATGCAGACACCAGACAGTGTCCCCACGCCCACGCTCCTTTGCTCTCTGCCCCTTACTGTCTTTTCTCCAATCATTTAATGAGTTAGACAGACCTAATTCATACAGAACTACAGCATGAGCAAAGAAGTAAAAGCATGTCTGTGATGCTCCACATGATCAAAAAAAAAAAAAAAGCGTTAAAGAATAGAGGGAAAAAAACACACTCGGTTTCCGCCGGTTCCTCCTACTTGCCCCAGCCGCACATCACAGGGGTACAGAAGCAGCCAGCCCTTTCACTTCTTTTTGATTTGTGCCGGAGAAAAAGAAAGTGTTTGTCCCTAATTAGCTTCCCCTGCTCCCTGTTCCACACAAGATTTTAATTATGATTGGGTGTTGCGGTGGATGTGAAAGAGATGCATGGCTGACATCAAGGCGGTGCTGGCCAGGAGAGATACGCCATGAGCCCCGCAAGCAGTCTAGCATTGTATGGAAGTCTTTGCTTCTTGGTGGAACAATGTCCTGCGAGGAAATGTGTGGAAACTGGAGGCAAAGAGCAGGGAGCAACCTACAGCTGTGTGTTTGCAAAAGCAACAGCCATCACAGCAGGCCTCCGAATCCATGTTTCTCTAAAAGGTTTTGAAAAGGTGACTGGGGAGGCTCTGTTACAGGCCAGATACTGGACCTGTATGTATACGGCTACGAATATAAGCTGGGAAGTGGGAACATTCTTGTATTCATTTGCAGGGGGATGTATGTTAGGGATAAAAGAGAAAATGACTAATATCCCTGCAATCACCACCTGCTTCACCAAAACACCAGGAGTGAGAGAGAAAAGTTTTAGACCTAATCAAACTTTCTTAATGCCAGTGACCTTGCAAACATCCCCAGGGAGGAGCGGCACACTTACATTCAGAGCACTTTGTTTTTAAGATGCAAGGCCAACTACTGAATGACCCGAGTCATCCTGCACCTGCCTCTAGAAGCATCTGACCAACACCTGTAGAAGCTCTCAGAGTGTGTCTGTCAGAGTCTTTCAATTTCATTCGTTCTCTCAGCATGCTCTTGTGAATTAGTCAGTGGCAGTTTTGAGTGACACGGAATGATGATGTACATTTTGTGGTGGTATTAGTATTGCAAGCCAAACGTTTGACTATTGGTTTAAAGTCTGAGGCTTGCTATAGCTTATTCTGGGCATGAATGTCAACTTAGCAGTTGTCTGATTAAAACTTGACAATAACAGTTGTTATTTTTGTTATGTATATGGGCAGACACAACTAAAATCAATGCTATTTCACAAATAAACTAGCATGCAAAAAAGTGGATCTATAAAAGGTTGTACAGACAATCCCAAAGAAATCAGTAGGAAATGTGTATAGACTTTGTGGTCAGAATTTCCTTCCACCTAAAAACAAAAGCGCTGAGCATTTCATGAAAATTTCATGGAAGTCAACATTTAAAGTTATCTAGTTAAAAATTACAGTTACAGTATAAGAAATGTTCTTAAATTTAAATGAATTTGTTTTCCACCAGTCAATAGCAACAAACTTGCTAAACAAACTAAACTCACATTTAGTCCTCAAGTACCTTCACCTTTAGCAGATCAATGGACGACTGAGACTCAAAACACTTCAGCCTGATGCTCAAGGATTTTGTCATTTTTCTCGCCCTGCCAGATTCCGCTGTGCTTTGTTTTGCTGACATGAAAAATGTGCTTGCCTAAAACATTCACAAATCTCCTCAATTGTGAAATGTTCACTGGCCTATTATATTGTCACCGACACACTATACTGTATGTACTTGTCACTGTTTTGGTCAGACAGCATCTTAGAAGGACAAAATAAGGGCAGGCATTTGTTGTAAACAGCTTGAAGCATATGTCCAGTGAAGCCATCAATGACGATGTACCAGAAAAGCCTCACATCACTGCAAAATTGTCTACAGAAATACAACACTGCAAACCAGTGTTATAAAGGTTAGAGTAGAATTTCAGCTGAAGTTTATTTTAGTCTAAGTTTTGACTGTTCTGACAGCCTTGTTTGTGCATTCAGACTTCGTCTTCAGTCTAGCACTGGATTTGTCGGTGGGTGTGCAAGTTTGATCCTGAATCCACAGTGTTTATCAGAGAAGCTATGGTTTCTTTCTGAGGAAGGTTATGTGTGCAGTAGGATGATGGGATTGTAAAGCTCAACGGGTGGTCAAATACATTCTAACATGGTTTTTGTCTATCACTGGTCAAACAAGAACCTAACCTCACCGTAATCTAAGGATTTATAATACCACATAAAGTAAATATAGGATGGATACCATCTTTTTGGCAAAGTATTGCTTTTTTTAACGATTTTTTAAAATTATGTTTTATATGGCTGTGCTCTGGTCTGGTCACACATTTCTTAGTTTTCAATTAGTGAGCAAGGTTAAGGGAACAAAGTTTGAGTATTTTCAAAATTCAGATGACAACTGTCAATTTTCCGTTTGAATATAGGCCTAGCTACTGCAGATTCTCTATATTTATTCTTCTATATTCTGCATTTTATGTCAGTCTCCACAGTAAAAAGTCGAACTCGAATGTATGCACATTTCTGATGTCTCTTTAAAAATGCATGGGTAGAAATCCCCTAAAAACACAGTGTTGGAGAGACTGGGGGTGTGGTAGCACATTTTATTTCAAGGAACAGTGTAACTCTTACATGTTTAATAAAATGTATATAATATTCACATATTTGTCTGCTACAAATTAGAAATAAACTACTACAACCCTATAATAGAAACTAGAAACTTGTATAAACATGATATTATTATTATTATTGTGAAATGTCTGTTATATGTAAATTTATTTAAAAAAAAGTGATACATAATGACTTGTCATGTTTTACTGAAGTACAAAACGAAACTGATCACAATGGAGAACATTTCGACAGTGTACGGTTGCTATGGTTACATCCTCTCGCCAACGTGACTACTGTTCGTCAAGGTCTATTTGGTGGCAGGTGAAAAACGTGCCCTTATTTTGTTTTTTTATCATTACAAACGTTTAGAAAATCCTGCTAAAAACCTATACTTGTTCAAAATAATTTATGTGGGCCTACAACCCACATTTAATTTTTAACATGATTATTATAAAATACACATAGGCCTATAGGAAATATTTCACTCTTTTGGCTCATTTCTAATTGTTTAAACCAATTAGAATAATGATGGTATTACAACTCACCCGTTGTTACAGTATTCATCTAAAGCTATTTATGCATATCCTCTACTGTATGCTTGGCTGACATACACAAACGACAAACAAATAGTCGTCTGTGTGATTGTAATAAATGTGCTTATATACATCGACAGGTGGTGCAACGGACCGGTATTCGGGACTACAGACTAACTGTATATTTCACCATACAGGTTCCAGCGCGCTCAATGTCGCCGCCTGGCCGCGACGCGAGATATATGTATCAGGCAGCGGGTTCCCCGAGACTCAAAACGAGGCTGCGTCTCGATCAGGGCGCGCGGACCGCATTCCTCCTCATTCATGCCGTGCTGAGACTTCACACACGGAAAGTGCATGCGGCGCTTTACACACTACTGCCGAGAAAATGTACTCAAGTTTGAGATTTTACGCATGGCGAGGATAATAAACCAAGGCATCAAGAGCACAAGTAAGTAACCTCGGTTCTTTGCGCACAGGCGTGACTTTTCAGTGCAGTTTGTTTGGGGGGAAAATGCGTGTGGCGCGCTGTTTTC